TAACCAAACCCTTAAGCGATGCTATCAAACACCGATTTAATTATTAGTCGTATTGAAATGTTTAATGTTCATTAGGGTGGTTCAGAATGTGGTAAAAAAAACACTGTAAGGAACATTTACAACACAAAGTTTATCAAAAAATAATAAAAAATAAATCACTCTTCACTTATTTTTTTTTTTTTTTTATAAATATGTGCCATTTTGGTCGACCATTTTTTCGCTAGAGACATTATTCCATCAGTGTAGAACTCTCATCAGTGTAAATCAAAATTCCGAAATTTACAGAACGAGCGAGCGAACCATTATTGTGCTTCACGAACTGCTACAGCATCGTCTCAGTAAACTTCACAAATTTCATTGGTGGCTTGCATGGCATTCTTCAGTTTTTTAAAGATATACGACTGCAACGACATTAATCGACAAAATACGAAAAGACTTTTTCGACCACCTAATATTTTATAATGGATTTTTTATTAGGGTGGATCTTAATAACTCATATATAGTAACAGTCTTACATATTTTGCATACTGAGCCGCTTAAGCTAGACTTACAAGCAATAAAAAGTCTAACGGTACAACATCTACCGATGTTCTACAATAGGTACAAAAAGTTTAATGTGAAAATTTTCAGCTTTTCATTAATAATCTCCTTAGCAATTATAAGAATCACCCTAGTGTGTATATTATTTGAAACTTTTTAAAAATTATTTCGGTTGCCGAAGTAAGAAAAATAGTTAGTTAAATTTTTAAGCACCACCCTAGTGGTTATATTACATCTGTATACAAATTGTAAAAATAGTATATACGAATAACCTTACATTTTTATTCCGACTTGTTACAGTTCTTATTATTTGGTTTGCAACACTAGAGATCAGCAAGCTAAGTCTGAAGGGCATATATTTACAACTTAAAGAAGAAACAACTAAAACTGATGCACACGACTTCTTGGTACAAGGTGCAACGGGCGTAAACGACAAGTACGCCAAGCGGATTTCCAAACTGACACACGAACATTCAATATACATAACTATATACATACATATGAACTCGCATACATAAAGAGCTATGTACATATGTATGTACATTAAGGTGCTTTAAAAACACTCAACAATATTTTACTTGACTCTTGTTGTAAAATTAAACATACTCTGTCTTAGAGTTTAGTAAAACTCATAGGCTCAACTTTATAAAATATATTTTTTTGCCAAAAGAATTTGCGTTAATTTTGTGTAAATGCAATTTTGTAAAAATATTTTATCATGTCAACTATATGAGGCATCGAAATAAAAATAGCGACTCGTGTTTGTTGAGAATTTCTTTTTAACTCAAGTAGTATAAATCAATTTGCGAAGGTAAGAGTTGAAAATGATATATTTTCGTATCAACCTAATGCTTGGCCGTAGGTGAAGAAGGGCAATGTGCAGCGGCAATTGTGTCTGTTGTAGCGACACTGCCACTTATTGTAACGTCAGCTGTGGTTAATTATCACAACAGTAGTAGCAATACAACAACAAAAGCGGCTGAGTTAAATTCTCAAAGTCAACCACTTGTTGCAGGCGAACAACAAACAGACAGAGTGATGCCTAAAGCGGATTACCTTTGAAACGCAAGAAATAAAAAGTATACAAAGAACACATAATATACTTGTGCACCGAAAATAATTATATACTACATATAAATATAGTACATATGAATATGTACATAGATAAGTATATAAGTATGTATTTGCTTGCAGTTTGTTGCATTGCTGCGTTCCCATTGCAAACAATGGTTGACGTGCCAACTGTTTTTTAAATACAACATACTATGCTTTGTTGCTGTTGTTTTTGTTATTGTAGCTTAACACGTCAATTGTAATTGTACGAGGTTCGCATGCTAAAGGCAAACAATTGTTTGCGCGAAAATGCAAAAGTAAAATAAGCAACAACAAAAACATGCTAAGAAATCAGTGTCCACTGCAATGGCAAAGGAAAATAATTAACAGGAACAGCAACAACAGTTGCTTGCAACAACAGCTGCCACATAGCAAAACAAAGTTGCATTTGGTAAATACCGCCGCTTGCTTGTTGTTGTTATTAAACCAAAGTTGCAGTTAGTAAATACCGCTTGTAGTTGTTGTTAAACCACTTGCCTGTGGTTATGTTGATATGTACATATGTATATACATACGTACGTAGATACATACGTACATATGTTTGTGCAATTGTTGTTGCTTTGGTGTGTAAGATTTCGTAATTCAATATTTCGCAAGTTCATTTAGGTAACTGCCTACATACACACACAAATACATACATACATACATACAAAGTCGGCTTGTGACTAATGCCCAAGTGCGATTTTTCTTTACACTTTGTTATTGTTGTTGTTTTCTTTTTGTTTCAATATATAGCGTTATTCTGCGGTTAGCTTAAGTAAATTTATTTGAATACCGGTTGCCTATATCTAGTCTATTATAAGATTTTACGGCGTTGAAATTAATTTTGAGGTTATGTGGCATGCAGCAGCGTACGCTGTGGCATGGTGAAGCAAATAAAAAGTTATTTGATATAAGTATAAAACTTCATAGCAACAAGAAAAAACGTTAACTTCGGTGGCGCTGAGCTATAAAATCCGTCAGTTTGTATGGTAGCTCTATGCTAAAGTGGTTCGATCAGAGCATTTTTATCGGATATCGTACCGTTGCCAAAGACAATGGTCCAAGCAGTATTTCGTAAGGATATCTCGTTAAAGAAAAAAGTTTTGCATATAAGAATTTCATTTTGATCGTTCAGTTTGTATGGCAGCTATAGTCCTATCTGAACAATTTGTTCGGTGATTGTATCCATTTTTTAGACAAACACCTATACCTATTTATGAGAAGATACACACCTGCTCAAAATAATAGTTACACAATACTTTTTCAAGTAAAGCTCATGACTAAAAAGTTATATTTAAATTTTTAAGAAAAACGCAAACGTACTTATATTTTTCAAATATTAATAAACTTCAATAAAAAAAAGCAAAACAGTTACAAAACATTTCATAGCTAAAATAAACTTGCTCAAAAAAATAGGTACACTTTTAATAAGACAATTATTTTGGAAAAACAAATTACGATAAAACAGTTTTGTTGTATATTGAACATTACTCAATTAATAGCCAGTATATCCACCATTATGCTGGATTACTTTGTTTATTCATTTGGGCATACTACTGATTAAAGTCTGACAGGTTTCTTTCATACCAAGTTTTTTGTATGCACGCCCATAACTGGTCTTTGTTAGAGAGAGATTGACTCGCAAAATTTTTTTTAGTTCTCCCCATAGGTTTTCTATTGGATTTAAATGCGGGGATTGACTTGGCCACTTCAAAACGTTAACATTACTATCTTCAAAATATTTTTAGCCAGTTTGGAGGTATGTTTTGGGTCATTACCTTGCTGATATACCCAACAAAATGCTAAGTTTTCTTCAGCATAGGGTATCATGACATTTTCAAGTATTGCCTGGTACTCCGACGCTGTCATTTCGTTAGTTGTCCGGTATATATGACCTACTCCATACCAAGAAAAACATCCCCACATCATTACGTTTCCACCTCCATGCTTCACAGGTTTGTTTTTTTTTTTTTTTTTTGTGAATCGAACGTGAAACTCTTTTCCGTTTGTACGACACACATTTCTCTCACAATCGTTTCCAAACAAATTTACTTTGGCTTCATCGCTCCATAAGATTTTTCTCCACTGTTTAGTCCCCTCAGCCCTACCAATCTAAATGACTTCTAGCAAAATTTAACCACATATCTTAATTTTTTTACCGCATTAATGGAACTTTCCTGGCTATAGGTCCTGGTAGCTTGGCCTTTTGCAAACGCCTGCGAACTGTTTGGGCACTTACTACATTTCCAATTTCTGCTGCTATCACCTTCGACGACTTGAATGGGTCCTTTTTACAAATARTTACAATGTGGCGATCAAGAACTGTACTCGTTTTTTGTGGGCTTCCACGAGTTTCCCTACTTGATTTTCGCTCTAAGGCATTTTTAACAAGATTATGAGACCTCTTCATTAATTTCCCAATTTGCCGAAGTGATTTTCCTTGCTCTCTGAGGTTTGAAACCAGCCGGGCTTCTTCAACAGTATTATGTGACTTCCGACCTATCTGATTAAAAAATAATTTTATTTATCTGCAGCATTTTGAGCTTTAATGAAAAAAATCTTACCAATTCAGATAAAAAAAACTTGAAAAACTGGATAAAATTAATTTTGTTTTCCCAAAAAGCTAAGTTCACTTATGTATAACAATTATATTGAGCAATTTTTTTTCTGCGAATTCACGCAAAACTAACACATGCATTAATTCGGGGGATCATATGCTTCATTCTCTTTGAAGGGGCGTTGCCATATTATCTTAATTAAACTTATAGCATAACTTGTCGCATACAGCCCATAAAAAGTTTTTTAAATTGTTGAGAGTACTAAGTTTTATCGTGTAACTACTATTTTGAGCAGGTGTGTATATCATTAAATAAGGCCAGGCCTGTATTTTAATAAATATATTCTGAACAATTTCTGCATATATTGTACCGTCAAATAAAAAGATTTCCTTACAAAGCGGGTATTTTTCCGAACAGGTTGTACGGTGGTACGGTACAGGTTGTAGTGGTGGAAAAAACATGTCAAAATTTTTTAAAAAATATTTTTGAAACTGAGTTCATATAATACAAACTTAAATATTA